GCCGGAGCTAATACCGGCAGACTCACGTGATAGGGGGGAACCTTTATGTCTCGATCGACCAGGTCAAAATTGTCTCCCGTCGAGAAAACGACCCGGGAGCCGTTGCCGCCGCTCCCCGTTACAGTCTAGGAAAAAGAGAAGCTGTTTCGTCGAGTTATCTGCACTCTGGCTCGCCTCACGAGACAAATGGCAGCGTACGCTATGAGCTATTATATACCCAATCCAGCACTTTGAGCGTGTCACGTGACTAAGTGCAACGCGCTCCTGGCTGGGGATTTGGGGTTGCCACGTGAGAGCCGCTCTGCATTGGACTAGCTGCCATGGCTCATAGTGTCCGCTGAGCTCCGCCGTAAAGTGAGAGGAAGAAAAAGAGGAAGAGGAACTAAGATAGCAGAAAGAAAATCTAGACGTCAGCAAAAATTAGAAGAAAGAAAAAAAACGAAGAACAGGCGCACGCGTAAAAAAAAAAAAAGATCCTATGTATATATATTATACACGTCACGGGAAATGAAAGGTGGAAAGAGGGAAGATGTTAACGATAAAAAGCGAAATTGGGGCCTAGGCGGAAAAAGAAAAAGAGAGATAGAAAGAAAAAAAAAAGCTTTTGAGGCAGTATTCGGTGTGCAGTCTATTATACATGCCGAGCGAAAACGACGATTAGATTAGGTCGGTCGCGAACGTGAAACGGCCCCAGCACTTACTTACTCGCGGAAGCCACGACTATAAAACTAAAAATTAAAATTCGTGGAAATACTGGCAGATGTGAATGACAACAAACGGAAACGGAAAAAAAAAAGTATATATATATATATATATATATTGAGAACGCAAGAGAGAGAGAGAGAAAGAGAGAGAGGGGGAGAAGTCGAAAATTTTTACGCTCACCTTTTATAACGTCCAACTTATGCTCGGAAAGGGCTAAACGGGAACGAACACGTCGAGATTTTGGAGATTTTGTCGCACTTATTTATTTTTTACGTTATATCTTTTTACGTCTGCATTTGCTAGTCAATTACCTTTTTTTCTTCTTTCCTTTTTTTAGAATCTTGATTGGTTTGCGCGTCGTAGGCGTTCGTATATACAGCCTCATCTCTTTCGATTGGACGCGCTGGTTGCGGTAAAAAAAATGCTTCAATCGATTATTTCTTTACTTTTTTCTCTCGAGGGGGGGGGGGGAGCGAGCGAACGTTGTGTTGGTGCTCTCTTCTACGTGAAGCGTATCTTTCGGCGAAGTTTGGAAGCAGAAAAAGGACCCCTGGGAATAAGCCAAGGAGGGAATGACTCGCTCGATCGCAACCCCGTTTTCCGTTGGTGGCGATTTCGGCCACACGAAAATAAGCGAGGAACCCGAGGCAAAGCGATCGGCGGCGGATCTCAGAAAACACATAAACAAGTAACGAAAGACAGACACAGCGAAAGAAAATACGCCATAGTCGGACAACAGAAATAAAATACTTTTGTGTGTGTGTGTGTGCTTGTCTACTTTTTTTGTCTAGAGAAAGTCAAACACCTGGGGCGTTTTTTCGTTGCTATTTCTGGTGGTTTTGTACATCCCCGTTGTAAGAAGCGGTGTGTCTCTTGCAGCCACGTGCACGTTTTTAAAGTGTGGATTATTTCTCTTTGAACTTTTCTTTTTGTCTTGAGGCTGATTTATCGACGCTCTTCGGATTCTCTCGTGAAGGCGGCAAAGCCAAAAAGTCTAGACGCGCAAATAAAGTACAAATGTTCGTGTTTTTTTTGTTTTTTTTGTTTGTTGAGCGTGTGAAAATTGCGGAGGTTTGAAACGGGACGGTCAATAAACTTCTGCTGCCGGAAACATCTCCGAAAAAAGCGCGGAAACACACTCAAATTTCTCGACAATAAAACATAAACGCGGCCAGGCGGAGCTACAGGGGTCCGATACCAAAAGGAAAATTGCACTTAGTTTTTTTTAGTTCTAGTAGAACTGGACTTGGAGATTCTAATAATGTGGTGTCTAATACCCGAGCTCGACATTTAACTAAATTTTAAAGAAATTAATTAAAAAGAGCTTTTTGAAAGAAATTGCCATCTAGGCATCAGATATCTGTTGCAGCGGTAGCGGTTAGTATACCGCACAGAGATCGCATCGAGCCACAATGTTCATACGTCATACGAGAGGCATGCGGTTCTCTGCAGGCACAATGACAGAAGCATCTTCCAAACATGTTTGCTTCATACAAATGCTTCGAACATTTATAATGGCAGTTTTTGTACGACCAATGCGACGAGGCCGTCATACGAGGAAGACACCAGACTTGTACCTCGTTCAACTACTCTACTCAAGTTATTGTAGTTTAACTACAGTTGTGGGTAGTTTAGTAGCTTTCAATTATATTTTTATTTTCATAATTAGTAGTTTGCTTTAATTGCTTTTTCCGAGTAACTTCTAGTGATGCTACAAATTACTTTCGAATTTTAGTTGTAGGTTTGCTCATCAACGCACATTCCTGCACATAAAGGGATAAGTTGCTGGAAGATCAGCTGATAGGTGCAAAGAGGGGGAAGCATGTGGCGTGGGCAGGTTAGGGAAGGGGGTAAGTGGAGGGTCCGAAACCGCCTAAAATTATCACGAGCCCCCCACGGCAACGACCCTGCTACGAGGCACGGGGAGCGGACAAACACGTCGAAAGTGAATTTGGTGTGTACGCGATGCATCCACATTTAATAAGCCAGTGCAGTATGCGTCTGCTAACCTTGGCTTTTTCGCGTGCATCACTAAGTAGTGATTCCACGAATTCCCGCGGCTGGGATATGAATCTAAATTGAAACGCATTGGAATCACTTTTAAATTTGTATAATGCATGCATTTAAGAAGCAATCGCTTACATTTTTTTTAAGACATGGCAGAGTCGTTTTGGAGAGTGACAAAAATCCTATAGGGAGCATTCACTAGACGCCATATTTGTGGGTGCTGTTTAGAGCGCATGCTCAGAACGAGCTCACATCAATAGGCTGCTGAGACCAGCACTCTTGATGGTGCGGAATGCACGCTGCAAAAGAACTGTAGAAGCTCGCCATCAGCACGCGCTCAGCTTTCGCGCACACAGCTATGGCCGCCAGTGAGTACTCCCTATATTTTATCGATTTCTCGGGGAAACTGATTTGGCCCACGCCGTTACGTGACATCAATTTACCCACGTAATTTAAAGGGTGAACGGAATTTCGCGTATTAGCGCCAAGATGTTTCGGTGGCGCCCTCTAATTGTTTCTTTTCTTGACGTCACGAACATGATTTGTCTCGCCGTGATTGGCTGTATGTCCGTGACGTGAGGTCACGTGACATCAATTTTCCCAGCATGGTAACTGAATCGGTATATACACCAACTTATGAGAAGAAACAAACCGGAGCGCCCCTAGCGGACGCCTCAGGCGCCGCGCATGCGCGTTGGAGTGTGCGGAAGAAGCGCCCGTGCCCCATCATCAAATGCGATGTTGTCGGCGTCTGTATAAGCCCCCGTGCTCTTATTTGCGTTATAGTTGTTGATGCTACGTCTCCCCAGCAATGTCCGATCACTTTGGTTGCCTCAGCGAAATCAACGAGGCTCGTTACACACCGAACACTTCGCGTGAAAAATGTGACGTGCGGTGTAGACTGGGTTTGATTCGCACGATGAGATTCTGCTTACTATTTTCAGTCACGGCGTCGATCAGGTTGCAAACGAAGCATGGACGGTAGCAGCCATCCTTGACGTTGATACTGAAAATTGCAAGCAGAATCGAACCATGCGAATCGGGCATAACAAATTGGTGATGGCCACCGGTAACTATGATCAATATCCCCGTATATTTGTTGTTTACACCGAGCCTACTTACCCCAAACAAGCTTCAAATTTAAAATATTTTGAGGCCCGCACTTACTTCATACCGCAATTACCGCATTCCCGCGTCAAGGTGTGGTCTACGAGTCACTATCGATTGAACGAGCAGATGACAGTTTGAAAGATCAAACGACAAATTTGAATGATCAGACGGTTATTTGAGTGTGTCAGGGGGGGGGGGGGGGGCAGATAGCCCACCTCCAAATTTTAGAGGGCCAACGCAAGGCGGGAAGAAGGGGTATGTATATAAAGGGAAAAAACCAAAAGGAAAAAACGGCGATGGTGTTTTACGTTGCAAGGCAGCCGAAGTATTTTAGGGATCCCCAGGGATCTCCTAAAAAAGGGATTTTTGTGCTATTTGCATTTCTTAAATAGCCGTTTTACAAGTTCTGTACAACTAGTACTTCGCGTTTGTACCTACTGTAATTACAATATTAAAAAAAAGTCATCAATTTAACGCGCTAGAGTTTTTGAATACAACTAGAAACCAAGCACACCATTTTTACTATTTCGCTCCATTCACTCGGGAAGCATTAGAATTCAATATGTTTCGAAAAAAAAATCTTTACGTACGGTATTTTTTGCTTTCCTGAGGACTTGAATAGCAGAATTACAAGAAAATACTTTTTTCCTAACGGTATGCAAGAGGAAACATTCCTCGATCAAAAAAGCAACAATACCGACAACACACAAAAAAAGAAAAAGACAGATTGGTGCCAAAGTGTTAAAATGTCATAAGATCATAACTACGTTTCTAGTGGAAATGAATGTACTACAATAAGCCATTATTTATGGAGCATGCAGCACTCGATGCATTGAAACTGGAGCTCGCAGCCACGGGAAACTTGCGGGCCGTGTGCCAGAGAGTAGCGGGCCGCATGCGGCTTGCGTGTTTGAAACTCCTGGTGACAGGTCACGTGACGTCAACTTTACTGCTAAATTTAGCGGGGAAAATTGGTGTGTAGGTTACGCGACGTGAATTTCTTTCGCTAAATTTAGCGGGAAATACACGGACAGACAGACGGGAGAACAACATTTTGGGATTTAGAAAAGGGGGAGGGAGGAATCGAATACAAAGCATTTCACTTTTTAAAAAAAATTGTTTTTTCTTTTGTCTAGAGTAATTTTTAATATGTTTTTTTGTGTGCATTTCTTCTCCAGCGACAACCGAGGTCACGTGCGAAGTGGACGCTGACTGCCATCGACCGGGGATCAAGGCTTCGGTGCAGGGAGTCGTCTGCGACTCCACCACGCGGCGCTGTATCTGTGGAAACCGGACCCTGGTGCTCACTAAGGCCGGACGCTGCCTGCCCAGTAAGTGCACGGCGGAAAACCCGCCTAGAAACAAGTAGAAGAAACCATAAATCTTGCTACATTTTTACAGCGGAGCCGTTAAGGGCTAGTTTTTCCATGATCGTGTCCCCCGCAAGGAAATGAAGACACCGAACTCTGGACAACTACCACCATCTCTGAACGACGGCGGCAAGCCACGTATCTGGTGGCCGCCGTCGTTCATAGATGGCGGCAACCTTCCCACTCTGGCTTGCCGACTTGCGGCAGGCCATTACTTTCCATCGTACAGCTCCGCTGATCTTCCTTGTTTACCAGAGTGGAAAGGCTGAAAGTTTTTGGTTAACATGGTAGGGAAATTGGGGTCTGCAGACCAACGGATGGTCCTGACGTCACGCCGCTGGGGTGGCGCTGCCGTCGGTGCGACGCATTCGCAGGTTCTTGACATTACGAAAACCTCTTTTCAGCGCACGCGGAAAGCCCAGGACTAGTGTGGGCAAAGGGGGGCTTGTTTTTTAAGAGTACATTGGGCCTGTCGCAGGTTAAGAAAAGGAGGTCAGCTAGCGCCTCCCACAACACCCTCCCCTCTTTTCACTTTATCAGAGCGAACGCTGGAGAGTAGGCGAGTGGAAAAGAGGAGACCACCTGTAATGGCGCTCAGAGAGCTTTGTGGGAGGGTATTGTCCTGCTTTTTTTTGCCCGCGAAATCTACGGTCAGTGGCTATGAGGCTTGGACAAAAGGGACAACTGCAACACGTTGTTTATTGGTTCCATACAATATTCAATATCATCATCGTCCTTTGCCAATCTGTGTTGGATATCAGTTCACTAAAACGCGCCAACTTCCACGGTACAGTTTCACCGAGTGGTTACTCTAAACCGTTTTGAAATGTACAGCCTTTTGACACCAAAACGTCCCACTAAAATTTCATATTGTTTTCCACGCGTAGAAGTCAATGAAAAAAAAAAAAAAAGACTATTGTGTAGCACTTGTTTAACAGCAAGCGCTGCTAACTTCCTTACTTTATTTGAGATTTGAATGAGGCAAACTTGGGAACATTTGCGAATAATTCGCGGGTGGTTGCAGCGCAACCAGGTAGATGCGAGTGTTAATTAAATCCCACAAAAAAACGAATGTGATGTGGCTACGGTGCAACTTGGACGCTGCACAGATGTGGCTCACAGGGTGTGCCTACTATGTGACGTTTCTACATTTTTTTTTTTTCGAAGATTTTTGGTTGCTCGAGTCAAGTGTGCTCCGTTCGTCGTGTCGTTAAATAAAACGCACGCAATAGGGCGAATATCCTTTTAGTCCCAATATTTTTTTGGTCCAATTAGGTTACGAACTTGCGAAGCTCTGGGGATTGTTCCTCCTGGCACTAGACAATGTTTAAAAAAAACAATTGATCTCGCACACAGGACTCGAGATCACTGTGTGGATATTGTCTATGTTTTCTGGCATTCTAAAAGACGCCTTTTTTTATTTACCAGCGCAACACAAAACCAGTCAATTACAGCTAATGAAAAAAAGAAAAATCCAAGCACATGAAGAGATTAAGAAAGCAATTATATCTGCAAAACAAGGTGTACGCAGGTGCAAGGGGTATCTTGGATTGAACGAACGGAGATTGACATCATCATTGCCAACAAACTTGGGATGAGTCAAGGCGCCTACCTTATACAGATTTCGCGTAATACGCCTTATTTAGAACATCTAAACCTAGTATAATAATAAATTTAATCTAATAATATAGGCGATATAAATACGGGTAAGGTTCTCAACAATTTAAATTAAATCAAACATGCATCACGCTTTTCGTTGTTTCCAATCGAGGGCTTCCGCAGCTAGGATGGTTCCGGTCCGCTTCAGAAAGCCAGGCTAAAATTCATCGAAACTACCGCACTTTGGGAGGCCACCGCATTCGCTGGATCTGCCTCGCATAAAACGTGGACTTTTACTACCGCTGCAGAGGTTTTAGTGGACTATTACTCTGCAGTATTTTCTTGCCAGGTCAACCTAAATAGCATAAAAGGTGATGTAGTTGAAACTCTACCTCCGTCGTTTTTATTTGCTCCATGCAGGACACATCTATTAATCACAATGTAGTTTTTTTTAAATATAAAAATTTAATATGATCTAAATCGTTCTTTTTACGTAGCATAACTCTCAGATTATTGAATAGTGCCAAATCCGTAAGAACATTCTGAGTTTGTACTTCATGTGTCTTGCAGGGGGCATTAGGTCAACATTACCTTCAAAACAATCAAAGCCCGTGTACAAGCAGTTTTACGTCATCACCGTGAGGCAGACCCAGGCTGGACACGAGTGTTGTGTCATGTCCGTCTCGTGTCCAGCCAAGGCGTTGAAGGGCGCTGGGCGCCGGACTCGGGCACAATTGCTGAGCCATTCGTGTGTCATGACGTTACGTACAGGCATAGGGAGCTGTTCACAGTCTTTGGTTATCCGAGGCTGTATTAGTTAGATCTTTGTTACGTGACACGAGCCATCAATGCTACCCTGCTCAGGCTTTCTGTGAATCCCATCTTTCCCCTCGTTCACCTAAACCCTCAATATATGCCATTATCGGCCGTTACGACTAAATGAACAAATAACAAATATTTTTTTTTTTTGCGTACATCCAAAATGTTAGCATCTCTTTAGTAACTTTCCATGCTTTCAAATACTTTGACTCTGATGCAAGAAACCTGCAATTGCAATTGTTGTGCTCTTCCCTGCCATCTTGTAGAGGTACCACTTTCTGCCACCATTTTGAAGTTATTTATTCTGCATGCGTTATCCCAACTACCGAGTTCGTCGGCGAGTAACAGCCACGTGAAAACACGCAGACAAAGCGTATTTACCTAATGCATACCTTGGAGGTTCCGTTGGCATCAAGTGACAAAAGTTTTGTTTATATTTCCTGAGCCTATTTTTCAAGCACGAGCAGTACGTCTTTCGAAAAAGAGTACAATGACGGTCTCGAAACGATATTCATGCAGTCCGCTTTAGAAAGCAGCAGCGCTGTTTGCGTAAGTGTTGAAAATTCACTCTCAATAAGAAAAAAAGAAGGAAGAAGGCAATCTATATGCGATCAGTTTCCTCGCGGAAGTCAGTAGGGCGAAGTGCCTTGCGGACTGCTTCCTCTAGATGCATTTGAAGGACGTTGGAGCTTCTACAGCAACAGACTGTTTGCATAGGCACAACAAAGTAGCTTGCGGGATATAAAAATGTTTTTTGTGTATGTGTGTTTTTTTTTTTTTTTGCGCTATCTGTTTTGCACACTGTACTTCCCACGATGAGAAAGGTTCTCATTTCCCAAACTGACAGCCTAGATGTTATTCTTGTGTATGGTTGTCAGCTTTGCACCAGTTTTAACTTTTTTGTTATAAAACGACCATGTACGAAACAGTATACCTTTTTAAAATTATAGTCTAAACCGTGACACCCCCCCCCCCCCCCCCCCATAACGAGAAATAAAATAACGGGCAAGACTACATTTAATTTCTTCTATTCTCAGGTCTTTGATTATGATGTTTTCTAACCAGCTCGTCTGCATACTTTTGCTCCTTGTAGCATTTTAAAGCTGCCTTTCCATAAAGCGGCCGTCTTCAATGTACGGGAATTGGTACATGTTTTGAGTAAACACAAGCAACAAACTACGCATCTACAGGAATCTCTCAGTTTATGTTATAAGCATTTTTTGGTTTGGTCATCTTATAACTAGGCGCCGTAGTCATGAAAACGTATTAAACATCATAAGAAAGAAATTGCGACGGACTTGACCATTGCTTTCTTCAATTGCATTTTTAATCGCGTGCACCAATTACTAATGTAGTCATCCATATTTTTCAAAAAAAAGGGGGGGGGGAGGGGGGGGGGGTGTCTTAGCTCCTGACGTTAAGGCGCAGTAGTGTTTCTTTTTATACTGTTAGTACACGTTCGCAAAAAAAGCTTTTTTTAATTTTTTTATCCCGTCTCGATGAAGGTTTATATTGGCGGTGGGAAATTACGGTTCTAGGGTCCGTTTTCCGAGTCATTCGAAACTCCAGCATTCCTGTGTGTCATTCGACATCTTTTGAACTATGAAACTCGCTAAAGTTTCACGGTATGAAACTGTGCTTTTAGTGGTGGTTGCTTTATGCCTGGTGTAACATCCTGTTCAATCGAAACTGTAGTTGAGGCTGGATGCGGCGTAGCGAGAATGCGGGTGGTTCGGTTTCAAAACACCTGAAAACAATGCACAAAAATAACCAAACACTTCCTTCCACTCAAACATTGTAACGCTAATCAGGGCTTAAAAAAAAGATACAAAACGCACGAGAATTCCCTAGTTTCTAAAGAAAAGAAAGTGGCGGACACTCTAAGAAATCAGGAGCCTCTGCTTTCCCGCAGAGCACTTTTGCGAGTCAATCGCGGCAAGCTAAGGAGAGTGCTCGGCCAATGAAGAGGCTGAAAATATTCTTACACCTAAATTCTAGTCTGCGCTGTTTCACTGTACATAGTGAACCACCATGCTCATGCGTGCAGACTGTTTTTTTCTTTTTTTTTGCTTTTTCTCAAACTTTATACTCCGCGACAACTTTTCTTGGCAATGCAGTGGAAGGTACGTCCCGCGTCCCCTCTCCCATTTTGAGTGTACGCTGACTCTCCTCCTTTTCCTCATTTCCGGGGAGAGGAGGAAAGGCTGCGTACACTCAAAATGGGAGAGGGGGCGCGAGATGTACCTTCCACTGCATTGCCAAGAAAAGTTGTCGCGGAGTATACACTCCGTGCGACGCGAGCGGCGCGCCGCCGCGCGGCCGTTACCGAAGGTAGGCAGTGAGAGTCCCAGCGAAACGAAACCACGCCGCGTACACTGGTACGCATTGAAGTCGGAGCGGTGCGGTTGCGTTGGGTTGACATCATGAACTGCTGCGTCGTTACGTGCCCCAATATTTATGCGTCGTATCTTGTGGGGACGAAGTTTCACAGTTTTTCACGTCGCCGATGTTTTGTGGGACAGCGACAACGATGGACCGGTCGC